CCCCACCCCAATTAAGGAACACTTTACCTTTGTGGCTGATTTCGTACGTTCTGAAGTGTTTCATGATCTGATTTTTTGTGTACATGCGTTTGTTGCAACATGTATCCATTTGAGGGGGAAAAAATGGATTTGATCCACGGCCGGGGACAATTCCTCACATCCCCGGGTTTCCCGGCTGAAATCGGGGACGGATTTTACCCCGTTTTTGACCGTACGGTGGTGCTGCGAAAATGAAAAAGCCAGAACTAAGAGATAATGGATAGTTGGTCCATTCTGCTCAAATATCGACTCCGTTGAAAGAAATTAGGACGGAAACGTTGCGTAGGTGATGTAATGCCCGTTCGCACGAGAGCTCGAGATAGGCTTATACCTAATATGCGTTTATATTTTATGTTTATTTTTTCGGCCGAGCATGTGCTTACAGCAGCAAATCATGCGCGCAGTTATTTCTCATTTTCCAATTATTATGCGGGAACTTATGCACGGTTGTTTTTGCCGACGGAGTCGACATACACAGTTTTTTTAGGGTCAATGCGCGAGGTGCGCACGTGCCCCTATCTTTGTTTACACAGTTTACACTTGCGGTAACGTTGTTGATTCTGATTCTGTGTTCTGTGCTCCTCTGATTCCTTCGCACGAAACAACAAGTGTACCACTCAAGAAGCAACACACAGACGAACGGACAACACGAGAACACCAGCCACAATCATGGCTACACCACTCCCCAGCTCCCAGCACGCCCTATTTGCCCCATTCCCCTGTTTTTATTTTCCCCCGCCCTCTGTTTTACTTAATGCGGTGCCGTGCGGTGTTGTGGGTCGTCATCATCCGAGCTGCTTGCAGCGCATGCCACATGAGTCGATCTGGCAGATGCCATGGGTGAAGATCGAATATCTTGGATCGCGGTCTGCCTTCTGCCTTCGCTGGTTGTGCTGTGCTGCTGTGCTGTGGTCTTTCGTCTTTGGTCGGTGGTCTGGTTGTCTGCGGTCTGTGGTGCAGCTGTCCAGCCGTTCTGCTGCTCTTTTGGCTCTTGGCGCGGAAAAAAAAAAGTCAAACCCCCAAAACCCCCAAATCCCCCCGCAGGTCCGCTGTCTTTACTTAAGTTCCACGATGGATGGTGTTTAAGGATAAAGTTGCTCACAGCGAAGGCGTTTTTCAAGTTTTTGTTCAAATTCCTGGGGCCACAGGAGGCGCCTGACTCACTGCTGATCCACCCCTATCTCCAAAATGAAGCGAGCATAACCAAGCTTATGCATAGTGTGCCCATATATGCGCGATACTATACGCGAAAAAAAAAAAAGTATGCACGGGCGAAATTATTCTGTTCCTAATGCACGCGAAGGTCATTTATGTCGAACGCAATGCCCGCATATCAGGTATAAGCCTAGCTCGAGAGAGGCACAGAGAGAGGCACAGCGTGAACGGCACACAATACTCGTGCTTCCTTGTCCGTCCGCCTGTCACACGCTTGGTGATCCGTCAATTGCAAATTCATGCAGTCCCGCCGAAAACCCGTCCCGTATAGGTGCACTCCACAGCGTCGGGGCCGTCCGTTTTGCCTTCCGGGATGAAAGCCAGCGAGACCGAGTTCACGCAGTGCCGCTCGTTTGGTTCCGGGTTGCCGAATCCCTCTCCACGGAAAACGTGCCCCAAGTGCCTTAAGTGACGAAAGCAGGAATAAAAAGGGAAAGGGAACGCCGCGTGATGGTTGCATTGAAATGAGTGCAAAAGAAGGAAGACGACGGACATGGGTTCCAAGTATTCAACACGCACACACGACATCATTCAGACCAAGCACGTATCCTCAGGTGACTCGCCTCGGCCCGTCCATTCACACATGTACCTCCCTCCCGTTTTTCCCGGGTGGGGCATTGGGAGTGTGGCGGGCGGCTGTGATCCCTCCACCTCCCCAGCATTTCTACCTAGTAGTCTCTGGAAGCAACCACCAAAGGGCGGCCAACTCAAGGTATGCACGCGGGCATCTATTCGTGCGCCGCTCTGACCAACGCTTAACCCTTTTGGGCCTACGGGTGTACTGACTGATTATTGATTGATCATTGGCAAATGCTGGTGAGGTGGCAAGACATGGAGTTCCAGCCCTTTCTAGCCCTCCACGCCCGGTGTCGGGAATTCCATAGGGGTGTCTTTCATCATTACATCGGCCGCGCTAACGGGCTGACCACTGAAAAAGCGTCCGTCCCAGGTGGTAAAACCTATCTACGTAGCGGCTTCCTAGGGTCGGGCGAGGGTATGTGTGGAGCTATGATGTGTATGTGCATGTCGTCTACGTTATTCTGTTTGGCTCGTCTACACTGCTGCTGATGTGCAGTGTAGCAGCTGACGCAATGACTGCTGGATCTTTGGAATGAATGTACGATTGTGAAAAGATTGACGCAGCATACCGCGATATCCTGGCTCTGGCTGGGCTTGAAATACCCCTGTTGTTGGCGCCCTACGCTCTTTGGATCAGTGGCTGTCTATGTTCGGGCGAGGGTATGCGTGGTACCGTGATGTATGTCGCTGTCAACTAACTAGTCTATGTAGAGATATCAAGATTGGCATTCGCATTTTGCGCATTGCGCGTATTTTGGCCGACTTCCCGAGAACTACCTACAGTAGGTGTGTGCTGGTGTGCTGGGTGCTTGTGGGAAAAAACAGGAGCTGTAGTGAGCCGGCAGGGCTCACATGAGGGGGGAGACAGAGACGAACAGAGTTACTAGTACCAGCTATGGCCCTTCACTCGTCATTTGATTGATCGTTATCGGTGTATACTGAAAACAGAGTGGTTGAGGTAGCCAGACGACTGATCATTTCAAGGTCTACAAGGCCACCTGCCCTACCAGCCCCAGCGTGACCACCCATCACCCTTCCTATGATTCTGTCTGTGGCCAACACCCTGTCGAAGGCTTCCCGCGTGCTCTTCAATAGGTGGAGTAGCTGTTGCGTCTACAGAAGTACACTACACTCGTTTGCTGCACTTCTGTCTCTTCTTCTATCTGCGGTGGAAAAGAAAAAACGACGCCGAAACGAAACCTAGGGCCGAAGGGGTTAAGCGACTGACTCGCACCAGAGATTAGCGCACCGATGTCATGATTCACGCGCACTTTGCGCTCGTTCTAGAACAAATATGTAAAAGGGTCTGTATGTCAGGGTCGAGCATGATATAGAGGACAATTCCCTCGCCTTCGATCCCAACCGTCTGCTAACAAAACGCCCACCCCCGCCAAATGTATCTCGCGTGCACCACAGCGTCACCAGCAGCAGAAACACCAGTGACACCAACGACGCTCACCCTCCGCAGCCGGAGCAGAGGATCTCGCACCGCCTTCCATCTGCGTCCTTCTCCTCGTAAACAGCGTCCTGGATGTTTGTCCAAAAGCCCGGCCAGCCGCACCCGCAGTCAAACTTGTGGCTGTCCTCGTACAGAGGAGTCCGGCAGCCTGATTCGTATCGTACACGCAAGCACGCACATCAGAAGAAGACGGCACACGGAGCGGGATTTTATGACGTCCTGTGAACCCCACTCCCCCCCCCCGTCCACTTAACCTTTGTTCGTAATCTTTATCCGGTTTTGTTGTATATTGAAGTAGTATAGAGGGCCCCGTCGAGGATAAAGTTCAGTGTCCCCCCTCTATAAAGTCCGTGGGCAAGCGTACCCCCTACCCACCCACCCCCCTTCCCTCCGGACCGTGCACGTCAGTCAAGACGCCGACAGGCGTTCTCAGTCGACCGAGACCCCAAACCCCCCAGGCAAGCCCAAGAAAGCACACGCACCCGCACACACGTACGTCCCCTTGTCGAACACGTCGTCGAAGCCTCCGCTTGCTTTTCGGACCCCCGCGGGCTCCGTCGCCTTGCCGCGAAGGACCTATACATGACGTATTTTTTGTGCGATAATTGTTTACGTCACCAGAGGGTGAGACGCTTACCATCGTCGTTGACAGCGAAGATTCGCAGTCGGAGTTGTTTCCGCTACTTTCTGAAGCGCATTCCCCGGTGCACATGTACATGTTCCTTGTTATCCCGGCGGGGTAACCGAACACCGACTTTATTGGTTTCAGTTTTGGATTCTTGATGATGTATTTGTTTTCTTGGTTGTATATTTTGATTGTAGGTTCATCACTCTCTTAACTGCCAAATTATTCAGTGGTGGAACGTACTACTATACACTTGGAATAAGAGGGGCAATGCAGAAAACGAAAAGCGAACGACTCCAAGCCGGGGAGGTATGCAAGACGGGGGTCTTCACCGGTGCCATGCCCGCTCGGAGGACCGAGACACCCGACATGAAGGACTCGATCGATCCGTCTCTATCCGATAAAGCAATTTTCAACGGCTCAGGAACCGAAACACAGTGAGCAAGCAGGCATAATCAGCCACGACAGGTCACGTAAGCATGTGACTTTTTATCCCCGCTCAATCACAAACAGCACAGCTCACACACCCTCACACCACGACTACGGATGAACCCACCTACTGGCTATCCCCCCCTACGCCTATGATTATCTGTATATTTCGAGTTTATTTCGCGTCTCGCGCCAAGTAGGAGCCAAAGGACTCCAAACAACAGTCTGTCCGCGAGTTAAGTTTAAGGTTGGGCGTTCAAATCAGCGCCCGTCATCTTCCTACGGTTGCAGAGACAGCATCGAGACAGGGAGCCTACATCCTGCTCGATTGCCAGGCCGCTGACGGGAAGAGAACAATTTGTTTACTCTTGAAAATCGAACCTGGTACGTGTTGGGCTTAAGTTGCTCTTTCCACTCGGCGTCTGGCTTGCACTTGTCGAGAGCGGGCTCCTTCGCCAGTCGGGTGTGCTTCGATGTTGCCGGCGGCTTCCAGAACTGCATGTTCAATGCTGACGACTGGCGCTCGTTGTTGTGGTCGCATTGGTAGTTTCCGTTGCCGTCGTCATTGTTGTGGTCGCATTAGTAGTTTCCGTTGCCGTCGTCATTGTTGTGGTCGCAGTAGTAGTTTCCGTTGCCGTCGTCATTGTTGTGGTCGCATTAGTAGTTTCCGTTGCCGTCGTCATTGTTGTGGTCGCAGTAGTAGTTTCCGTTGCCGTCGTCATTGTTGTGGTCGCATTAGTAGTTTCCGTTGCCGTCGTCATTGTTGTGGTCGCAGTAGTAGTTTCCGTTGCCGTCGTCATTGTTGTGGTCGCATTAGTAGTTTCCGTTGCCGTCGTCATTGTTGTGGTCGTAGTAGTAGTTTCCGTTGCCGTCGTCGTCATTGTTGTGGCGTTGGTGGCGGCGGTGTTATCGATGTGGTTTTGGTGTGGTGGTGATGATTGTTGCATGTTGCAGTTGTTGCGGTAGTCATTGTTGTTGTGTTTGCGTGGGTCGGTCGTTACGACGTTGCATAGCATCCACCGCAACAACGATGGACGAACGACGCACAGGCCACGCGACAACAGACGCGGGGCGATTTTCGTGATTCGTTTTGAGGTCGTCGATCTTGCCGCCAGCATAGAACCAACCACAAAACACCATCGCAGATGTAGGTAAACGGGTCGAAAGTAAGCCAAGACAGCTGGAACGGCCGTCAAGACCAGAGTATGGCATGTACCGTTCCTTCAGTAAAAAAGCCGACAGTGGAACGCAGATTTGGCGAACGGATAAAACTAGGGCTTTTTTCTGCCGTTGTAGCTGGCCCGGCGCTAGGCGGTAGTGCCAACGCCGTGCGCAGCCAGCCGTGCCACCTCAGCTTTGGCAAGAAAGTGACTAGCTCGAAGATTCGTCCTGCAACGTTAGAGCATGTGGTGACGGGCTAGAAACTGCAGTCGGTCTGCATTTTTCCGAAGTCAGCAGCACACCCTCTCCACCTCGGGCACAATCCAAAGAGATACGTCCATGGTAAACACAAGAAGAGGCACAGCAAGGCAAACGGTAACATGTCCGGTTCTTCCCACCACTCCCTCCCCGCCTGCACCGTTCCGCCTGCAAAGGGTCGGGGCGGGTCTCAGCTATGACCAGCTCTCTTGGACACCTCTCCGATTCGGCATCGGGAGGTGCCGTGGGAAGCGTGGTACAACCCCTAGGCAGCCAATGTCTGCAAAAAGGCGGCTAGAAAACACGTTGGCACGTGATGCTCCCCACATAAGAGACCTGCATGCAATCGCAACCCACGAGGCTGTATGTTCCACAGTTGTTAGCTTCGCGGAGCAGAGTTTGGGAGCCAAGGTGCGAATGCACGCGGGTGCCATAAATAGTTCCAACGTCGCGATTTTGGACATCCCATGTGGAGATGGCCATGACCAACCGAGGCATGCTATTACGCTAAAGCTGCTCAAGATCGGCTCGAGAAGCTCACAGCAGTGGGGCATACAATGCGGCCCCGAGCGTTTGACTACAAACGAGCGCCTGTGGAGCGAACACCGATTGCCCACGTGTGTTGTCCAACCGCTATTCGCAGATCATCTTCCTTGGGGAGGTTACGAACAAAGCCAACAGCACCGCCGGATTCGAAATCGGTAATTTTACCATGACAACCTGGCCTTAAGCTAGCTCTCACCCGATGGACGCTACGGTGAGCGGCGCTGGTCGTCGAGCCAACGCGGTACAGAGCAGCAACAGGCCCCGACGTAGGCACGAATGCGGATGCGCTGAAGATAAGAGCCCCAAGACAGGGGATGCCGGGGAAGACGCGGAATGCGTGGCGGGGGGGGGGGGGGGG